AACCAGTACCTTTTCTCCCGGGTGAAATTCTCGAACCTGTGCCCCACGGTTGTATACCTGGGCCTGCTGTTGTTGGGCCTGCAGCATTTGTTCTCATACAACCGGCCAGATCTTTGTCATTCGATCGTGTATCTGTTCTGCATTCTCGACGATGGTGCGACAGCATGATGGCTGCTGCTCCCAACTTTCCTTGGCGAGGTCCAACATCCCTCGAGGTCGCCGCCCATAGAGGAGCTCGAAAGGTGAGAACCCTGTGGGACTTCTCGAATAGAAAACAAGACATACGGTAACAATTGGTCCCAATTTTTCCCATCAATGTCAATGACTTTCCCAAGCATTTGTTTAAGAGTTTTGTTAAATCTCTCGACAAGCCCATCAGTCTGGGGGTGGTATATGGAGGTTTTGAGTTGTTTCACCTTCAGTTGTCGGCAGGTCTCTTTCATCACAGTAGACATGAAGCATGAGCCTTGGTCCGTAAGGATCTCCTCGGCTATCCCCACCCAGCTAAAGAGCTGTACCAGTTATCTTGCCACAGCCTTGGAGGTGGTCGACCGGAGTGGTATTGCCTCTGGAAAGCGGGTGGCATAATCGAGGATGACCAGAAGGTATCCATGTCCCCGGCTGGATTTTGGCAGGGGCCCCACAATATCAAGTGCAATCCTGCTGAAAGGGGTTTCAATTATAGGCAGGGGAATAAGTGGATTTAGATACGTTACCTTTGGGTTATGAAGCTGACACACAGAATAGTGCCGACAATAGTCTTCGACTGCTTTCTTGATGCCAGGCCAATAGAACCATGTGAGGATGCGCTCATAGGTCTTCTCAGACCCCAGGTGGCCTCCCAACAGGTGAGTGTGTGCCAAGTACAACACCTTAGAAGTACATGCTTTGGGGACCAACAATGGTTCACAAATTTCCCCTCTTCGCTGATCCACTCTATACAACAATTTATTCTTTATCATGAAATGTGGATACGTCAGCCTACTCACCCCCTCTTGTAGTTGGCCCTCAATCATTTGTGCACTCCTCCACGCCTGGGTCAATATGGGATCTTGCAGCTGGGCAGTGCCGGACCGTCCAAACCTTTCCCCCTGGGGGGGGTCTCTGCTGGGGGAAATTCAGAGAACACTTCGTGGGATTCAATGTCTTTGAGTACCTGCGCTCCTCCCAGGCAGTTGCTGTGTAGTCGGAATGTTCTTCCTCACCTCTATCCTCCTCTGGGCTGGAGGCTTCTGCCGCAGTAGTCTCTTCAGGGGTTGGCGTAGGGTGGTGTTTGGATGAATGGCGCCGTCGGGGAGGTCTCTTCCCTTCTGCAGCTCGGTCTGTCCAGTAGGCAGCAAAGGCCGGGCAGTCTCTGCCAACCAGGACCGGGACGGGCAAGCACTCCACTACCCCTGCTCGTACTTGGAACTGGCCCCGAGGGGTAACCATGCTTACTTCAGCAGTGGGGTAGTTCCTAGTGTCCCCATGAATACAGGACACAGAAATCTCTCTACCCATGAACGGCCCTGCAAACTCTGGCCGGACTAGGGTCACCATGCTTCCAGAGTCGACAAGGGCTTCGGTGGCTCTGCCTCCAATCTTGACAGGGAACCTAGGGGCAGCTGCCCCCTCATGGGCCCAACAGGTGGTGAGAAAATGGCACTGGAGTCTTGAAGCGTCAGTGGCACTCGCTGTGGGCAGGAGTTCCTCTCTGCCTGGGCAATCCCGGGCCAAGTGTCCTTCTCTTCCACATGTAAAACATCGGAATGCAACAAGATTCCGCAGAGGCCTCTCCTCCTTCCAATTTCCTTGAGCTTTCCAGGCTCTTGCCGGAGTCACCTCGAGGTGTTTCTTAGAGGTCTCTCGGTCTTGTTTTGGTTTCCAGGAGGTGGCTTTGTTTTCTTCCGGCTTCAGCAAGCTCACGGTCACCTGCTGATTTTCCAGGAGGGCAATTAGTGCCTCTGTTCTGTGGTCCCAGTTGAGCCACATATTTCTTGGCATCTGCCGGCATATGTATGCAATGGTCGATCACCACCATTTCTACTGAAGATGGCCCGTCTCCTTCTAGCCAGCTCCTCACCATCCGAGTCAACGTGGTGACCTGTGCCCGTGCTGGAAGGGTCATCTGGTATCCCCAGCTATGAACTCGCTGAGCCTTAGCAGGTAGGCTGAGCCCATATTGGGCGAGAACCGCTCTTTTGTCCATCTCATACCTGGTTGCCTCATGGACGGTGAGATCCCGGCAGGCCTTCTGTGCCTCCCCGGTCAGGAAAGGGAGTATTACATTAGCCCAATCAGTCCTGGGCCATCTCTCTCACTGAGCCGTTCTCTCAAAGAGGTCGAAGTAGGTTTCAACATCGTCATCTTAGTCAAACAATCTTGAGGCCTCCTTCCCTGGGCCTCTGTCCTTCGACAGAGTTTGGAGACTGCTGCATTCAGGGTTGTTTGGGCCTGCAGAATGGCAGTCAGGGCCTCCTCCATTTTCTTGCTGTTTCTTGTCCGCCTAGTGCAAGGTCTGAATCACAAGCAAGGCTTCACCATGCCTGTATTCTCCACCATATGTAAGCCCTTGAACACAAGATTTGGTGAGATAAGTTCAAGTTGTCCACATAGATAATGCACCAGGCAGGTATTTGGTGGAACAGAACTTAATTCTCTTTATTTCTCAATAAGGTGAGGGAGTGGGGATGGGGAAAACTGTAACTAAAGCCTTTCTTCCTTCGGTGGTTGGTTCTTGGGGCAGCAGATCAATCTCTCTGAAGGGAAGGCAGAAGAGATGGAGGGTTAGTTAAAAGTGTTCAGGCTACTCACGACCACACTGAGCTTCCGTCCTTAAGGACTTGTCCTGTGCTTGGGTTTAGGGCGATTCAGCATCTGCTCATCTCCCCGGCTGAGACACTACCGAGGCCTCTCGGTTCCATTTTATGTGGTGGTGGTTGATTGTTCCTAACAGCCTGCAGCTGAGGCTCCCTGTTAGAGGGGAAAAAGTGAACACCTGTGTTGGAGCTATCCCTGGTCCTGAACCCTCTTACTGATTGGCCCAGCCCTTGTTGCTTCCTCTGATGGGGCTCTCCATGGTGCTGAAGGTGTTCAGTCTGCTTTGTGGGGGACCATACCTCTTTCTGGCCACCACAATATAAAGAAACAGACATGCATGTATATATTTAAGAAAAATATGTTACTTTTATATATTAAACATTTATATATGATATAATTGGTATTAATATAAATATATACACTACTGGTCAAAAGTTTGGGATCAGTAAGACTTGTAATGTTTTTTAAATAAGTTTCTTATGCTCATCAAGACTGCATTTATTTGATGAAAAATACAGAAAAAAGTAATCTTGCAAAATGTTATTACAATATAAAATAATGGTTTCTATTTTAATGTCCTTTAAAATATTATTTATTTCTGTGATGCAAAGCTGAATTTCCATCAGCCATTACTCCGGTATAAAGTGTCATATGATCCTTAAGAAATCATTCTAATATGCTGATTTATTATTAGAAAATCATCAATGTTGGCAACACTTGTGCTGCCAAATATTTGTATTTTTTGGAAACTGCGATATTTTTCATGATTCTTTGATGAATAAAAAGTTTAAAAGAACAGCATTTATTCAAAATATAAATCTATTCTAACAATATAAATCTTTGCGATCACTTCTTATCAATTTAACACATCCTTGCTGAATAAAAGTTGTAATTTCCTTCAAAAAAAAGAAAGAATACAAATTTACTGACCCCAAACTTTTGAACTGTAGTGTATATTGTTAGAAAAGATTTATATCTTAAATAAATGCTCTTCTTTTTAACTTTTTATTCATCAAAAATCCTGGAAAAAAGTATCACAGGTTCCAAAAAAATATTAAGCAGCACAACCGTTTCCAGCACTGATAATAAATCAGCATATTAGAATGATTTCTGAAGGATCATGTGACACTGAAGACTGGAATAATGATGCTGAAAATTCAGCTTTGCATCACAGGAATAAATTAGATTTTAATGTATAAATTAATTAAAAATCATAATAATATTTCACAATATGACATTTTTTCCCTGTATTTTTGATCAAATAAAAGTTGACAAAGAGAACCCAATCAAACAAATGAGATGAAAATATATACTTTGCCATTTATTTATTCAGGAAAATGATCCAATATTACATATCTGTGAGCGGCAAAAGTATGTGAATCTCTAGGATTAGCTGTTCATTTGAAGGTGAAATTATAGAGTCCATCTGTTCAGAGGTGTTTTTAATCAGTGATATGACTATAAGGTGTCAGTGTGTTCCCTGTTTTATCTAAAGAACACGGATCTATCAAATTTTGGTCATGTTTGTGGAAGTGTATCATGGCACAAACAAATTAGATCTTTGAGGACCTCAGAAAAAGTGTTGGTGTTGCTCATCAGGCTAGAAAAGGTTTCAAAGCCATCTCTAAAGAGTTTGGACTCCACCAATCCACAGTCAGACAGATTGTGTACAAATGGAGGAAATTAAAGACCACTGTTACCCTCCCCTGGAGTGCTCCCCCAACAAAGATCACTCAAAAAGCAAGACGTGTAAAAGTCCAGTAGGTTTCAAAGGACTGCATGTTAACTTCTAAGCAACTAAAGGCCTTTCTCACATTGGCTAATGTTAATGTTTATGAGCCCATCATCAGGAGAACACTGAACAACCATGGTTTTCATGGCAGAGTCGCAAGAAGAAAGCCACTGCTCTCCAAAAAGAACATTGCTGCCCATCTGCAAGAATCTAGTGCCATCTACTGTCAACAATCTAGTACCATCAACTGCCGAGGAATCTGTGTAAAACTGTAACAACAGCTCGTTCATGTACTTATAAGTTTATTATTTATTTTGTACTATCAATTGGGTGTCAATTTTCAGAATGTAAACTATTAGTTTAATAGGGACTGATTTCAAAATCACTATAAACGATTCAACTGTTAATTTGAACTCTTATTCTTATTACAGAGTGCACAATGTCTGCTTTTACCTCTTCTGCAAAACAGCTGGGAAAAGCGGTCAGACATGATGACTCTCACTGTATTGTGCAGTTCAATGTAAGCAGAGTATCCATGGAGACCGTACTCCGGGTCCACATCATCAAATAAAGCACTGACTCCAGCTGCTGGACATTGGACTTTCACACCGAAAGAGGGATAAAGAAGAGAAAGAAAGAAAGAAAGAGATTAACTACAAAGTGGGTGTCAAGTTACCTTCACACTGAGGACTGTAGAGACAGTATGGTAGTAAAACAGACAGTGTAACAACTGATGAGTCAGAGCTGTACAGTGTTCAGCTTCACCAGAAGATGGCGTTATTACACCACCAAACTATACTGATGGTGATACATAACTGACATCTATGTTCTGATATATTCAGAAACATCTGCGATTACAAAGAGAGAGAGAGAGAGAGAGATAAAGAGAAAAATAAACCAAAGGGATTAAAAGATGCATATTATAATACATATCAATATATATTAAATGTACATATTAATATTTTATTAATATTAATACATATTCAATTTTGGGAAGGGCTTTAACAGGGGACAGAGCAAATAGTCTTCTGTAAATGCAAAAAAAGACAAAATGATAAGAGAAAATAAAGCAATACCTAATAGATGCATGAAGACTTCTTTCCACAAGTCTGTGATTGTGCAAGTTTACCATGACAAAAGCAATTTCCCATTGGTCCTGTATAAGAAGCACAGAATTAATTTGGTTAATTTTATCATTTTAATATTATCAAGACCATTATTACCAATAATAATAATCATAATTATTTTAATATACACACTACTATTCAAAAATGTAATTTTGGTCATATGTGTAATGCTTTTGAAAGAAGTCTGTTATCTATGCTCACTAAGGCTGCATTTATTCACACAAAAAATTAAGTAATATTGTGATATATTATTACAATTAAAATGAGTGATTTTTATTTTGAACTTTTTTTTTAATGAAATTTATTCCTATGAATTTTCAGGGTCATTACTCCAATCTTCAGTGCTAATGATCCTTCAAAATCATTCTAATATGCTAATTTGTAAGAAACATTTATCATTATTATTTAAAAAAAACATTTTTAAAAGATTTCTTTAGTCTTTTAATCAATTAATGTATGATTGCTGATTAAAAGTATTACTGTATTTCCAAAAAAATATTCCAAGTTCTCTATCGATACTTCACTTGGTTTAAGACGCTTTGGGGAAAAACTCCTTTTTCTCTGATGACTGAAGCCTTTTAATAACGCAGTTACACTGCACGGCCATTGGTTCGTGCAATGTATTAAAAACGAACCAATGGCTCGGCAGCGGAGCTTTACCTATGCCGGTAAATCCCGCCGGAATGGGCGGGGTCATCTGGCTATATAAGTGGCACATCGCCATAGGATCCTCAGATTTCTTCTCTTTCAGCGACGACTAGTTCGAAGCCTCGAAGCCTCTCACCGTAGAATCGCCTTTGCAGTAGATCAAGCTGACCCAGCGACCCTCTGCTCGGCTGATTCACCGCTTCTCCGCCGCCTTCAGCGTCGCAGCAGCGGTCCCAGCTGATCCCCTGTCGCCATCCGGCGAGCCTAAAAGAGCTTATTTCTAGGTAAGTTCTAAAAGAGCAAAATTTCTAGCGACGTTGTTGCAAATGTCGCGCTGCGAGTGTGGCTCGTGCATGGAATCTTGCATTGTGCAGAAGGGCAGTGAGTGCGTCGTCTGTCTGGTCAGCCCCTACGCAGAGACTGCACTTCACTAAGACGGAATGCTTTCGCCGAGAGCATGAGTATCGCTCTTCTCCACTTTTCCGATTCTCCTCTCTCAGCGAGCCTCTGAAAGAGAAACATCGGAGTCAGGGAACTAAGCAACCGGTCTGAGCGTTCGCATGCTGGCACTGAACCCGCGTGCTCGCTCTCCCCGCTGCGCTTTGATCTGCCGCAGAAGGGCTGCTTTTACCATGAAATCAGTCTGCCCCTGTTCGTTCGCGGAAGGCGGCCCCGACTCCCCGCTCTTATGTTTCTCTCCTCCCAGTTACCTCGGAGGAAGCAATGGCTAACTCGCGGGTTGAGCGATCAGGCTTGAGCAATTCATGCTGGCACACATCATGCGTGCTTGATCTGCCAGTGTGTGTTACACGTGAGGATCAGTGCCCCTTGTTACACCGAGCGGCTTAATCCTCCTAGGCAGATCAAAGCAGAACATTCGCAGCTTTGAATTTGTGTGTGCGTTGCTGAGCCCCGCCTCCCCCACTCTTGTGTTTCTCTCCTCCCAGTTACTCGGAGGAAGAAATGGCGAACTCGTGGGGATGAGCGATTAGGCATGAGTGCTTTAACGCCGGCAAGTCCCCACATGCATCACTCTCCACGCAGCCCTTTGATCCTCCAGTGTGTTTACATGTGAGGATCGGAGCAGAACGCGGTCACCAATGATTCAATATCGCTGACAGTTTCGTATTTGAATGTGCCTCTTGCCTGGGCCACGCCCACTCTGAGGCTGCGCTCGCTGAGACAGATCGCTCTCACTATGAGAGTTCATGTTTCGCTCTGCTTTGCTCGCGGCTCATCTTCTTCAATGAAGGCGGCCTCGCCCCTTCCCTCGTCCGCCACGAGCGGATCTGAGAGAATGCATGCAGCACTCTTGATCTGCCTGACTGTTTACACATAAAGATCATCAGTACTCCTCTTCTAATGGGTTTTGTCTTTTTAGGCGGATTAAAAGGGAATGCTGTCACTAATGATTATTATCACTGACAGCTTCAAATTGGACGCATCTGGGCCACACCCACGCTGAGGCAGCGCGCACAGGTGTTAGATTACATTAAAACAGATCCTCTCGCAAGTGTGCCCAGGGGACTGGTTCTCTTCGCTGGATCTGAAAGACGTCTACTTTCACATCCAGATAGCCCCCCACTGCAGACAATTCTTGAGATTTGCCTTTGAGGGAGTGGCATATCAATACACGGTCCTTGCCTTTGGACTGTCCCTAGCTCCTCGCAGCATCTCGATGGGAGCCTACGGACCTCCCCGAGAGCATGCTAAACACAATATCTCAGGCTAGAGCACCCTCTACAAGGCGGTTCTATGCCCTTAAATGGTCTGTCTTCTCCGCCTGGTGTACGGCCCGCGGCGCAGACCCAAAATTCCTGCGACATATCTCTGATATTGTCCTTCCTGCAGGAGCCGTGGGATAAGGGTCATTCCCCTAAAGTGCTCTCTACTCCATTTAGAGCACAGGTGATAACTCTATCGGCACGTCCTCCTTCAGAGCAAGACCAAAAGTTGAACTTACTCTGTCCCGTCAGGGTGCTGAAAGTCTATGTTGAGCGTTCCGCCCCGTTCAGGTGGTCGGATCAGCTATTTGTATGCTTCTGTAGCCGCACCAAGAGTTGTCCGGTTACGAAGCAGAGATTTTCCAAATGGATAATTGACGCTATTATGCTAGCATACTCTTCTTTGGGCCTTCAATGCCCCATGGGAGTAAGAGCCCACTCAACTAGAGGTGTTGCCTCTTCCTGGGCCTGATCTAGTTGTGTGTCCATTGCAGAAATTTGTGTGACGGCCGGCTGGGCCTCGCCGTCCACATTTGCCAGATTCTATAGTCTGGACATCCCGGCCTTACAGGCGCCGGTCCTTTCTGCATAGCAGGGCACTCTGTCGTATGACAACCAGTGCTTGGTGATTGCCTCCTTCATGTACGCTCTTGGCCCTCAGTGAGCTCCGAGGCTGTACTGAATTATTTCGGGACGATGATACAAGGCTGGGCCGACCACTCTGAGTTTAGCCCTACTGCCTTTTGCAGGGCTTCCCTGCAAAGTATTTGGTCCCACTGGGCCCCCTTGGGTGCTTAAGGCAAGTTCAAGTATTAGTCGTTCCTCTAGCACAGTGTTTCCCAACCTTTTTTTAGACGCAGCACCCTTTGGAAATTTTAACAAATTTGTGGCACCCTACAAAATTAAATTTGGTCACAATATTTGAATTTCTAACTTCGATATGATAATTTGAAAAGTGTAGATATTCAGTACAACAGGGAAGAACTGCAGAATATAATGTCATACGGATATTTTTAATATTATAAAAAGAAATGTGTCTATCAATGGTGGCAATCAGTAGGGGATTTTTTACGCGGCACCTCTGCTCTCGACAGGTGGCACCCCAGGGTCCGCAAACGGCAACATATTACTCCTATTTTAGTGGCTCTAAATTGGTTGCTGGTTCGTCATAGAGCCGATTTTAAAATATTGATGTTTGTCTTTAAATCCCTTAATGGTCTTGCACCCTCGTACCTGTCTGAACTTTTAAATCTGAACACATCAGTCAGGTGTCTGCGGTCTGCAAACAATTACTCTCTAGCTCAGCCTCGAACACGACTGAAGTCAAGAGGGGATCGTGCATTTGCCGTTGTTGGACCTAGGCTCTGGAACAGTCTTCTTCTTTATCTGAGATCCCTGTCCTCTGTACATGAGTTTAAATCGAAGTTAAAGTCTTATCTTCTGGCCCGAGCTTTTTAGCAGTTCTTAATTATGTTCTATTTATTTTTATGTCTTATTGCTTTCTTTCTTTATCTGTATCTTAGTTTTATATGCTGTAAAGCACTGTGGTCAACTCCTGTTGTGTTTATTTGTTCTATATAAATACATGAAAATGAAATGGAATGCTTCCTCTAGCATAGTACTGGTTCCCCAAAGCGTCTTAAACAGACGCAGTACAAGTGAAGTATCGATAGGGAACGTACTGTAACCTCGGTTCCCTGAGATACGGAACGAGTACCGCATACTTTGCCATGCTATGTAGCTGCAAGACTCAGTCGTCGCTTCAGTCGAAGTAACCTGAGGATCCTATGGCGATGTGCCAGATTATATAGCCAGATGACCCCGCCCATTCTGGCGGGCTTTTTCATTGGTTCGTTTTTAATACACTACACAAACCAATGGCCGTGCAGTTACACTGCGTTATTAAAAGGTTTCAGTCATCTGAGAAAAAGGAGTTTTTCCCCAAAGCGTCTTAAACAGACGCAGTATTCGTTCCATATCTCAGGGAACCGAGGTTACGTTAGTAACCAAGTACGATATCATAATAAATTTAAAACGTCACGTGCAACAAGCAAAAAAACAAGCAAAACAAAAAAAAGACAAAAATACATAAATACATACAAACCAAACAGCAATGTTAATAAAATAAGTGTCACAAAATGCACGTTTTCTCCACATACAAGGTGAAATCTAGGATTGGAAAATACCTTCCAGAATCCCAAAGTTATGCCATGTCCAACATGCAGCATCTTGACAATCTTGTCTGAAACACACAATTCATGGTGTTCTCCTTGAAGCTTTATTTTAGACATAACTGATTTCCAGCCTGGCCTGAAAGGCACAAGATCGAAGCAGCTACATCACTCATTTAGTTTGGAGTAAAGCTGTACCTTTGTATTTTAGGCACCTACCACACCTGTAAGGAGCATGACAATCGAGGGGCACCCGCAACACTCCGTGAAGCTCAAGGGAGGTGAGCTGGTTGAAAGGAGGCCAAGTGACAGCGCTCCAGAACACAAAAACAGCCGTACTGCTAAAGAAGGCATGAGACTGCTCAAAGGTGCTCCGCCGTCCTCTCCCATCAGTCACTGTGATCTCCCATGTAATACACAGACTCCTGCCAGACACACATGACACAAACCACAACTGACACCTCTGCACTCAGATCATTTAAGGGCAATCGCTTTTTGTCACAGTGTCTGGTTGTAGTGCCCTGGGCTGGCCACTTGAGGGCACTCTTCCTGTTTCTGTCCTGTACATGTTTTGAACTCCGTTTCCCATAGTCCTTTGCTTTGTCGTTTTGTTCTGACCATTATCACCTGTTGGCAACCATGCTCTCACTGTCTGTCTTTGTTGCAGTATTGTTTGAGTTACGTCCTGTTTTCTGTTCCCTGTGTTTTGAATTTACCTTTTGCATAGTTTTTGTTCTGTTTTGGATTATTTGTTATTTTAATAAACTTACTGCATTTGGATCTAATTTTGTTTTCTCCTGGCATTCCGTGACACTTTTCTTTTTTGAAGAAGAAGAAGAAGAAATGGGGAATGATGCATAAAAGAAAACACTAAGCTGATGAAAAAATTAAGTTTAATCTGTATATTTATCTTGTTTTCCTGATACATCCCTAAAACAAGATACACTTCTTTACTTGCAAATTTTTTTTTTTACAATATTAAAATATGAAACTAAAAGGTAACATTGTTTTTCAGATACTATATTTTGAAGTAAGTTTATTCATTAGCATTTAAATATATATTACACACGTATACACATACAACACATATAAGTTTATTATTAATTTATATATATATATACTCTAATAAAGTTCAGTCAGGTTTATGTTTAAAATAATAATATAAATGTTGCCAATGGGTTACAAAAAAAAAGACCATTCCTAAAACAAAAACTTCTTTACTTGCAAAAATGCTACAATTCTGAAATAAGAAAACTAAAAGATAATGTTTTCAGAGATATTTGTATTTAATAATGCAAGTTAATAAAATGAATGAATGAATAAATACAAAACTATTTTTAAATGTGGATAATACAAGGTAAAGAGACAAAGTATCACTTAAAAAAGGCTGCTAAAAATAATCTGTATTTTTATCGAGTTTTTCTGCAAAAGTATCCTGAGCATATTTAAAATAAGATTGATTTACCTGAGAATCAAAACTGTGTTCAGCTGGAAATATGAAAACTGAAAGTAAAAATAATATTGATTGATTAATTGACTGCCTGACTTATATGCAGGTACTTTTGTTAACCTAATTCAGTTGATTAAGAGCAGGGATGTGACTGTTTGGCAAGATACTAGCAATGAATGACATTAATTATGAAAAAAGCAGGGCATTAGGTTTGGGAAATAACTAATATGATAAATCATGTGCCGGGCATTGGCACCATATGATATCAATTAATGCTGTAAAAAGAGATACAAGCAGAGTCCCAGAGAGATTAATAGCTGTTGTTTGTGTCTGCAAGTCGGTGGAGATGATTATTACCGAAGTAAATCTCATCCTTCGGTGTCTTTGTATCTGAGGAACCTATGGGGATTTGTCTGGGCAAGAGGTAGGGGCCAAGCAATTTATTTCTACAATTCACCCAGCCTTCTGAGGGGACCACAATTATTTTCATTCCCCCTGTATGCCACACGCTCTTTGAGTCGAAAAATTGAGTAGCCCGGCAGCTCTAATCAGAGGTTAAGACAACAGCACGCCGCAGCCTGCAGATCATCAAGCGTGTTTCCGTATCCCATCGCCCAGGAGCACAGAGCAAATCTAAGACGCTGACTCTCACACTCACCTTTAATAAGCCTAGACACTGCAGGAGGGAAAAACACAACTGACATATATTTGATGGGGAATATGCCATCTTCAACAAATTAGATAGGTCACAACAAAGACGATATTTTGACTACAAAGTCTTGTTGTGTATTACTAAATGTAGATGTAGGGACGTACAAAAAGAGGATTGAAAGAAATAAATCAAAACAACTAGAAACCCAGAAACTACAACTCAAGATAGTTTATGCGTACATATTTATATAAAGAAACAGATTACAGGTCACCATGCCAAACCAATGCTCTCATCATATTAAAAAAGGATATAATAACCATAAAATGAAAAGGGATTTTAAGAGACACTGACTGAAAGATCTACACATTTAATTAATAGTGAATTTGCAAATAAACGAAATTTTAAAAAGCCAGAATCTCTAATCTTATGAATTCCTCTGTATGTCGCTGCAGTCCTGAATAAGGGTCAATGCGTTGTACGTTTGTTCTCCACTTGTTCACATTCAGGCCGGAAATTTCTTTGAAGCATGCATTTCTCCAGTATCTCTTTGGCCTCTCCTGCACACCCACCACACCAAGATCATGTATCATCTGATCTTCTTGACTGGCTTTCTTCTTTTTGCTATGTTCGCGGATGTAAAACTGATACCACATAAAACTGCAAGGACATCGGGATGAGGAAATAATGATTTTGATTCATTTTTGAGCAATGAGAGAAAGAAGGTCTAAAAAAAAAAAAAAAACCTCACTCACTTGTTGTTGGACAGTTCCTGGAAGTGCTTGTTGATGAAACTAATACAGAAAAGAGACCCAGGATCCAAGTACGAGAGAATCCTGAGAATGATCTCTGGTGGCATCCTAGTTTAAGTCAGATAGATAGATAGATAGATAGATAGATAGATAGATAG